CTCGTCTAAGCGTGACGCAATGAATATCGATAATTTAAAGAATTCCAAAAAAGAGTATCTCCTTTCGTCGTAGTTAAGGTCCCCTGCGAATTCTTTCTTCTTCCTCTTTCCTTTTTTTCCTTTTTTTTTTTCCTTTTCTTCCTCTTTTTCTCTTTTCTTTTTTTCCTTTCTTTCACTTTTTTTTTTCCTTTTTCTTTCTTTTCCTTCGGAAAAATCCTTAACTCTCTCACAATCACTTTTAGAATATTAACCCACAGAGACGAACAATAATTTCGTTTCATTAATGCTTTAACACCGATCGTCATTACATGGCTACTGACCAAAAGTTCTGATACAAAAGGAAAATTCTTCCGTTTCTTTTTTTTTTTTTTTTTTTTTTTTTTTTTTTGTGAAAGCATAATAATCATTCGGTTTATAATAATAATGGAAAAATTACTACGAAAAAAGACGAAAATTAATGAAAGAAATTTAAAAATAAAAAAAAGAAAAATAAGTAAATAAATAAATAAATAAATAAATAAATAAATAAATAAATAAATAAAAAACAAGATAAAAAAACCCTACAGTCTATTCCAAATATATCGACCATTCGATCGATATAAAGAAATATTTTGTTAAGAAAAATGTATCCCAAGAGAAGACAACAATTTAGAAAGAGGGGAGGGGGGTGTAGGGGATGTCTTTCTCTTTCTCTCTCTCTCTTAACATTTTCATCTCTGCCTCCAAATGTTTCTTCTCTCTTTTCGGATTTACCTGAAGTTAGAAGAAAAAAGAACGGTAATAAGGATCTCTCGTTCGTTATATATGGACGAAGAGGGATATCCTGCTTGCAACCAACAGAACACAGCATCTGGATATACATATATATATATATATATATATATATATATATATATATGTGTGTGTGTGAAATGGTAATGCTAGCGAAGAAGAGTCGGCGAGATGGAAAGAGAGTATGCATGTACATGTGTCTGTATATGTGAGAGAAAGAGAGAATGAGAGAATGAGAGAGAGAGAGAGAGAGAAGTGCATAAAAATATATACGAAAGAGCGGGACAAACAAAAGGTCTCACAAATCGCTGACCACGCCCATTTCCTCGCATACCACCGACGTTACTCGTCCTTTCTCTCTCTCTCTCTCTCTCTCTCTCTCTCTGTCTCTCTCAAAAGTCACAGTGATTTCCCGCCGACAATGCACTGGCATGTTTTTCAATATTTAGCCATCATGACTTTTCGTCGGGGACCCACTCCCTCTCTCCCTCTCTCCCTCTCTCTCTCTCTCTCTTTCTCTCTCTCTATCTCTCTCTCTGTTTCTTTTCGCCCCGACAAAAATCTCCGGGTCGAATCGGAAACTAGATAATTCAATTAGGAGAACGACAGCTGCCGGCTGCTGCGAACTAAACTGTCCGCGCCATCTAACGAACAGGTAGACCGCGGGTGAGAGGATTAGATGAAATAGGTAGGGTAGATTTAGAGTGATGGAGGAGAGGGAGAGGGATAGGGGAAGGGGAGAATGAAAAGAAAATAAAAGGAAAGAAAAAGAGAGCGAAAGGGAAAAAAAAATGAAGAAAAAAGAAAAAAGGAAAAAAGAACGAACGGAAAAAAAGAATAAAAGGACGATGATGAAACGTAGAATAGTTAAACGACGGCCGCCGCCATTGGTTAGATTTTGACTCTCTGTCCTGTTTTTCAAGTAGATCTATTGCAAAAAAAAAAAAAGAGAAAAAAAAAAGAAAGAAAAAATTAATAAATAACTAAAGAAAATTAAAATAAATAAATATATAAAGAGTAACGACAAAGTATTACGACAATTACGATAAATTTGATCGAATGAATGTGAAACGACCACGAAGAAATAATTCTTCATCGTATTTGAGTACTTGATTATATCCTTTGACGATATATCGTTTTAAGTAATTTTTTCTTTTTTGTTGTTGGTTTTTTTCTTTTTTTTTTTCTTTTTTTGTTTATTTGTTTTTTTTTCCCCTCCCTTTTGTTGTTACATTAATCAATGCAGGAATGATATAAGTCATATAATTTAAGTACCGACGATCCATGGATAATACCCATTCTATCCTGGATCCTCCATAACGAAACAACATATTTTCGGTATGTTAGGTACGTCAAAATGTAAGAAAGAAAAAGGTAAGGAGTTTCTTTTTCCCAAGAGTCTAATATCGCGTTTGCGGTTTTCTACTTTACTTTGATTTTAACCAGTCATAATCCTTTGTCATGGTGACGTTAATAATTCGTCGGCTGTCAGATGAAAAGGAAGGACTCAAGGAAGAACAAGGATCAATGATTTTTTTTTCAAAAAATCTCTCTCTCTCTCTCTCTTTTTTTTTCTCTAAATTATTTTTCCAAAAGAAAAAAAACAAAGGAATATCTTTTTCTTCGTATCGTTGAGAGAACGTTTATAAACATAAAAAAAAAAAAAAAAAAAAAAAAGAAAAAGTAAAATAATTAAAATAAGAAAGAAGTAAATTGAAATTAGAACAAAAGTAAAGAAATAAAAATATAAAAAAAAGGACGCGAATCGGAAAAAAAAATTCGTTTACTCCCATGACGATGGACGGGAAAAAAAGAAAAAGAAAAAGATATGATTTTTCTTGCAAAACGTATGTAATAGGATGTATTTGAAAATGAACGAAAAACGGAAATATTCTTTTTTAGAAGAAAGAAAAAAAGTTTTTGTCCTTTCGAGAAGGCGATTATGCATGCAATAAATAGATTATCGGCAAAGTCACCCCCCCCTGATGAGTGACGAATTCACCTGAATAAAAGGGATGAACATTTGCTATGGATTCGTCCTTACGATGGGACCTTAGGTGAAAAATAAGGGAAAGAGAGAGGAGACGAAAAAGATCTCCATGGGGTAACTTTTCTAGGGTGCCGTCACGGAAAATCGTGGAAATTAGTGGCATCTGGTGCCTCTCGTTTCTTTCTTTCTCTTTCTCTGTCCTTCTTTTCTCTTCGATTTTCTCTCTCTCTCTCTCTCTTTCTCTCTCCCTATTCCTCACTTCTCACTAAACTTTGTTGCCTCGTGTTTTGATACACGCACACGTTCGCTCAGGATTTTTCTTTCCAAGGAAGACATTTCTGAAAACTGGGCGGGTTGATAGATACTCAAAAGTCTGCTCGTATTTCTTTCGAAAAACTTAAGTTAAGAAAAAAAGAGAGAGAGAGAGAAAGTGAAACCGTTAGAACTTCAAATCCGTCCGAATATCGAGTTTGCAAAACTGTCGACGCCATCTTGAATCTCAATTAAATCTCATTCGATAATAAAAATTTGTTTAATGAAATCATTCATTGAAGACGAAACGTTAATAAAGATCTTCCAAAAATTATTCGACAATAATAAAAATTTAATTACTAATTATTAAATAATATTAATAAACAATATTAAATATATAATAAAAATTTGTGAACGAGACTGTTCGTTTAAATTAAACGAAAAAAATTCTTAGATTAGCTAATGGAGAAGAAGAAAAAATATGACGGTATGGTATAATTAAAATGATAACCTAAAGACCCGATGATGTCCTAGTGTGATGTTAAAAATTTGGATGGAAAATTAAAAATCCTTCCGAAAATTAGATAGCTTAGGTAAATAATAAAGAAAAAATAACAACAAAAATCTTAGAAAAAATTCGACCGTACATTTTTAAATCGCTTGAAGAACTTTTGAGTTTCTTCCCTCTCCCGTTTTCTCACCCCCACAATTTAGAAACCTTTCAAACAACACGTTTAACAAGTTCGAAATTGTTGAGAAAAGAAAAATCATGCGGATCGTGTCCTCGCGTGGCTGGATAAGAGAACGTAGGAGGCATGCGGGATAGAAAAAAAGAAAAAAGATTGTTCTAACCTCGAAATAATGGTTACGTCCTTGTTCGTAAATTTTAGCATGATAATAATAATAATAATAACAATAATAATACCCATAATACCTTTACCTGACAATGCTAGTCTAAAGGAGAACTTGTGAATGGTAACTCGTAAATCATTAGGAAAATAATACACATCGTAATCTTTTTCAGGATAATTTCACGCCATCTTTTTTCGCGTCCGACATCTTTTCTTGAGAGATTATTTTGATCATTGTTTGTGACTTATTAACTTGTAACGAGGTAAATACCATGAATGGATTTATTAAAAGTTTATGATCTTTATCACTTATGTTCCATAATTGTATACTTTTATTGATACTTTGTATTGCCCTTTTCGTTGCTATCCCTATCTCCCTCCCTCCCTCTTTCCTACTCCTCTCCGCCATTCTCATACACCTTAACAATTGAAACAAACGAACATTGCCATCCTTCTAATAAACTATTTACTTACTTTTACTTATCCTTCGTTGTTTATTGCTATTATTGATTTTATTTATTTATACACCAAAAAAGAGACATCAGTTCGTAATGTTATTGAAAAGGACAAAGCAAGATTAAAATGATCTTTCGAGTTTTTTCGATTTAGAAAAAAAACGTCCCATAAACTTAGAATTAAAATTTAGAAAAAAACCCATAAACGTCACGTGAGCACGTGACAAAAAGAAACGAATGATTTTTATCATAATTTATAAACTTCGAGTACGATATAAACAAAACGAAATTTTTACGTTCGAATAATCACAAGCCAACTTGTGTGCGTAACTCGTAAAATTTATTATAACGAACGAAAAAAGAAAAGAGAAAAGAGCAATCAAAAAAAGAAAAAAAACGAGGACAATACGAAGAACAAATTGAACATTAAAAAAACGAACGATATAGAAAGGAAAATCCGAGCGATCAAAATATGTAATATGTGGTTGAAAAAAAAATTGGAAGGAAGGTCGAAGAACAATAACGTTGGGGGAAAGGTTATATAGTGCAAAGCTTTGCAAAAGAGAGAGAGAGAGAGAGAGAGAGAGAAAGAGAGAGAAAGAGGAAGGAAGAGAGGGAAGGAGGTTGGGAGGATGGGAGGATGGGAAGGAGAAAGAAGAAAGTGGGAGTGGCCCTTTCTAC